GGTGCTTATGCCTCTGAGCTATCTCTGCAGCCCCAATAAAGGCTTTTTAAAAGGGATTTCTGGCCATTTGCCATTGAACTGTTATAACAAGTTTTAAGGGGTCAAAGTTTTCCCCTCAGGCCACTGGCTGCCATTGTTGGGTTTATGCTGTGGCCATGTCATTTGGCAGGTTAACTTTTTAGGTCTTATGACCTCCCAGAGGGCAAGGGAGCCAAGATTCCAAAGGAGGCATCCCAGTGGTGTGTCTTTTGGGGGTCGGCAATGAATATTTTCCATAGTGACTGAATTTGAGGTAAGCCCAGAGCTTTACACCCTACGGGAGATTGTCACCTATTCCCAAGACTATGAAGTATGAGAGAAATCCCAAACCTGCTTTCTCAGTCATCACTGGAAATCAGGGAGGAGGTCCCCAAAGATAAGAAAGTAACTGTCCTCCTTGGGGTGAGAGGGCAAAAGCCCTACCCAAGGAATGTGAGGAAAGCTTTTTCTAAAATAGACAGGAAACCACAAAACTGAGAAATGGCTCACGAATGAGCTGAGGCTGGCTGGTGTAGGGTGCCAGCCAGCAACGGCAGATGGCAGGAAGGGCAGGAGCGGCTCGTTGGTGAGGGAGCCCCTAAGCCAGGGGAGGGAGCCCCCACCGCCCCTACTACACGGCTCACCTCTCCGAGTCACAGCACCAAAATGTTAGGTTTTTTAGCCGTGCAGCAGAGAAGCAGGAGTAAAAGAATGGGAGGGCAAGGCCTCTACTGCCATTGAGGACACAGAGGGGATTGATGGGGGGAGGAGGGGGGCGCTCTGTGACAGGTTTCTGCAGGTGCCCGGCACAGCAGAGAAACAGGCAGAAGGAGAAAGGGAAGGGGGCTTTATCATCTTGGAGGACGTGGAGAGATTTGGGGGAAAATAAGGAATTCTCTTGATTGGAACAAAGGGAGGCTGAGGCTTTTATGGCCATTTTCCATGGGTGGAGTTTGAAGGGCATGTTTAGATATACCTGAGGGAGCTGAGTGGGGGGTCTTCCCTGAGGCAGCGGGAAGGGTGAAAGGAACTTGTACTCTGGACTGAGTTGGAGAAGAAGGGGGAGGTGGTCTTGGGAAGATGGGCTTTTGTTTTAAGGGCTTCAGCCATATTAGATGACCACCATGATGGTTTAGCACTTTATACTCGGGCCAGAACCCATCACTCTGACCTGACACAAAGGAAGGCTGAGGTTTTATGGACGTTCGCTAGAGGCGGAGTTTGAGAGGCAGGTTCAGTGACACGTAAGGAGCTGATCAGGGGCTCCCTTGTGTGTGTGGGAAGTGTATCCAGGACTAGGGTGGGGGTGAAGGAGGAAGTGAGCTCTTGTTTTGGAGATTCAGCCATGTTGAATCAGGGCTGTGAGAATTTCGCAGTTTGTACTCTGGCTGGAACCTGTCACATTCCTGACCAGTTTCACCTGCCCCAAGACACCCGCCGCCCGCTTTCCACTCCATGCCCTGCTAGTGTCTCCTTTTAAGCATCCCTCCCAATCTGATCCCACTTCCTGTCTATCCCCTCCCTCCCTGCCACTTTCGTCCTCCTTCTGTTCCTCTTCTTCTGTCTCCCCCCTTTCTCTGAGATGGGATCTGAATGTCTGGCTTCAGGCAACCCTCCTGCTTCAGCCTCCAAGTAGCCATGACTACAGGTGTGCACCCCTCCTGGCCCACATTAGGCGCTATCTCAAAGACCTTAATGGTGACATCCTCTCAAGCTGGGGCTCAGCACCCCAGCATCTTGCTAGTCGCCCCTGTCTTCCAGGCCCTGAACTGGTCGTTCGGGTGGAACAGCTCCCTTCCTGTCTTCTACATCCGGGAGAGGAACCAGAAAGTCCTACTGTACGCGTGCGGCCACATGGCCGTCATCTACAACGTGGCCCGGAACACGCAGTACCACCTGCAGGTAGGCGGGGACTCCCTTGCCCTCCCACTTCCAGACCTGGCAGCAAATCCCGCCTTAGAACCAACCACAGGCTCCACTCAGCTTTAGCCCAGGGGTCTCAGCATTGCCCAGGCTCCAGGCCCCAGGTGCCACCTCGGGTTCACATTCCTGATGTCTAGAAAGGCAACAGGGCATCAGTGGGTGGCGCCCCCTTGGCACGGCTCAGCCAGGAGCTGCTCCTTGTCAGGTTCTTTGTTTTTCTTTGCAGTGAGGGGCTTGAAGCCAGGGCCTTCATACCAAGCCATGTCCTGTGTTTTGAGAAATAGTCTTGCTAGCAGTATTGTGATCCTCCTGCCTCAGCCTCCCTGAGTGCAGCTAACTTTCCCTCTTCATCTCTGCAGGGCCACCCTAATGTCATCTCCTGCCTCTGCGTCAGTGAAGACCGGCGATGGATTGCCACTGCAGACAAGGGGCCCGGCTGCCTGATAATCCTGTGGGACTCCTTCACAGGGTAGGCTGGGGCGCTGCCAGTATCCGTGGCACTGCGGCTGACCCCGGATGAACCAGGACAGAGCCAGGCTGCTGGGGCATGCGATAGGGAGGCGGCCACTGGCTCACGGGAACCCGACTCGCACCAACTCAAAGCATGAAGCCCACCTAGCACTGAGCCCACCGCTTTGGATGAGGCAGATCTGGCGGCTGGCCAGGCTGCCACTTTTGGGAAGCTGTCATGGGGCTGCCTGTGTCCCCTCCACAGCGCGGAGCGTGCCTGCTTCCAGCTGCTGGCTCCTCCCTCAGGCTCTGGGAATCGGGGTGGTGGTTCCTCCTGCCTTTCCTTCCGTCAGGGAGCTCGGTGTTCCCGGCCGCTCTCTGCTCACGTGTGTGCATCTGTGGGGGCCAGCGCTGCGCAGGAAGCTCGGGAAATGAGAGGAAGCCTGGAAACTTCCATGGCCTCAGAACTTCCTATGATGGTTTTGTTTTGTAACAAAAACAGTCAATAAGGAATTTGAGAAAGAAACCCTGGGCTACCTGAGGCCAGCAGGGATGTGGCCTATAACCCCAGCACTCTGGAGGCCGAGGCAGGAGAACCACCGTGAGTTCCAGGCTAGCCTGGGCTACATAGTGAGACCCTGTCTCAAAAGAATAAAAAATATGGGGCTGGGGAGCTAGCTCAGAGGCATCAGAACCTACCTGGCAAGTACAAGGTCCCGAGTTTGATCCCCAGCCCTTCATGCCATGCTGGCCAAGGGACAGACCCCAGGGCATGGTGGCACAAGCCTGTAATCCCAGCACTCAGAAGGTTGAGACAGGAGGATTGCTGTGAGTTCTGAGACCAGCTTGGGGGCTGCAAAAGTGAGCACAAGGCCAGCTCAAACCTCATAATGAGATCCTGCTCAAACATAAATGATAATAGCCACATGAGTGAGGGGAAGATGGGGGGCTGCCTTGGCTGGGACCAGGGTGTGGCTTTCTGTGATTGGTCTGGGTGGGAGGAGTGGAAGGGACCCAGGGGCTCCGGGTGGCCTGGAAGAACAACAGTGTGCAGGCTCTGGGGTCCCCGCTTTCATCCTGGGTCTGCCTCCCGCTGTTGCTAGCCGGCAGCCCTCGGAGTGCTTTTGCCTGTGGATGCGACCCTCTAATTCTTTTCCTTTAAGATACTGGGGATGGCGCTCTGGGATGCTGTGTGCTGGGCTACAGCCCCACCTTGTCATCTGCTTATTTATTTAATATTGTAACTGGGTCTCACTGAATTACTCAAGTTTGAGGCAATTCACAACCTTCCTGCCTCAGCCTCCCTGAGTGCTGGGACCGCAGTCATGTGCCGTCATACCCAGCCATGTCCATCCAATTTTATCTCCATTTTTCATAGTAGGAGACCCCATGTCTCTATCTCCCCTTATTTAGGATACCGGTCATTGGGTTCAGGCCATCTTCATCCAGTAGGACCTCATTTTAATGTCTGTACAGATCCTCCCACCATTTTTTGTGGTACTGGGGGTCAAACCCAGGGTCTTTGCACTGAACTATGCTGCTTCCAGCCTTTTTTTTTTTTTTTTTTTTTTTTTTTTTTTTTTTTAAATTTTGAGACAGGGTTTCACTAAGTTGCCTGGTCTGGGTTTAAAGTGTGATTCTCCTGCCTCAGCCTCCCAAAGTGCTGGGATTACATGCGTGTAGATGGCTAAGACTCTTTCCAAATAAGGCTGTGTGATGAGGTTCTGGGGAGACATGGATTTGGGGGACATCAACCACCCACCCACCCACATACACATGTAAATGCATGGCAGGGGTCAGTGGCACGGGTGCCCTGCTGGTGGCAGCCGCTCCCAGGTGGGTTTCTGCCTTCTCTCCTGCAATGTCCGTGGGTGGCAGTGAACAGCTCCAGAAACAGGGGTCGCCTCAGTGCAGGCAGCGCCTCCTCTTCCTGAGAGGAGGTGACAGGGGACATCCTGCTGGGGTATCCCTGGAGTGTCTCCCGTGCTGATGCCCCCAAGTCCTGCTGCCTGTGCCTCCCAGAGGCCTCAGCACCGTCCCACGGCCTCCCTGCCCTTGTGTGCCACGCTGGCCAAGCGAGGCTCCCTCCTGCAGGCCTGCTCAGGCCCAGCCTTCTTCTCACTGGGGTAAAATACACATTTAAATCTTACCACACAGGGCTGGCCAGATAGCTCAGTGGATTAAAGCGCCTGCTTATGCGGATGCAGGGCTCGGAGGTTTGATCCCGGCCTGCCGTGCCAGCCCTGTGCGGAGATGGTGACTGAGACTGGGCGTTGACCCTGGGCTTCCGTCCTAGTCATATTCCCTAGCCCTTTTTAAATATTTTATTTTATCTTGTCTTTTTTGAGACATGGTCTTGCTATGCAGTTCAGGCTGGCCTTGAGCTCACTTTGTAACCCAGGCTGGCCTCAAACTTGCAGTGATCCTCCTGCCTCAGCCTCCCAAGTTGTACTGTCATCCCCCCAAACTGAGTCCCTACTGCAGTGATTACAGGCGTGTGCCACCACGCCTGGACGCCTTTGCTGCTCGGTGTACCTGGGGGGCGGGGCCAGCATGTCCTTGATCTTTTAGTTCAACTTAAAAGTCCTGTTCTACCTGCAAACAGCATATTTTTGCAGTCACCAATGAGGAGGTTTTGATGAATGTTTGGCCTCATACACTTGGTCCTTAATTCTTTTTAAACATCTTAAACAGCATTTAGAAATGTAATATATTCTGGTTTCTGTTTGAGTGCTTTGGTGCTGTAATGAACAAATCCTTCATCATGTCTTAAGTAATTCTTCTAAATCTAATACATTTAGACATAAATACGGTAAATCTCAAGTTCTCCTAATTGCTCTAATATTGTTTATAAACCTTGTACGATTTCAATTTAAAATTGCAAGTGTAAATCAATGACCTATTTTAAATTAAAATCACAAATCGAGTCTGTTGGAAGCGCTGATATGTCAGATTCTCTTCAGCATTATGGGTTCCTTCAAAATAAACCAATTTTCTTTTCGTAAATACTTGAGTACAGACCTGACTGATTGCCTGGTCTCTATTTTAAATACTTCCAGGGAAAAGGTCCATTTTCCCACTAAGAACTCCAATTGTATATTCCTGACAATTTGAGGGCTGCTGTCAAGTGCATTTTTATTTGATTTTGTTTGAGATGTTTGCTTGCTTGTTTGTTTGGTTTTTTGAGACAGGACTTCACTAGGTAGCCCAGACTGGCCTTCACTTTGAGGTGATCCTCCTGCCTCAGCCTCCCAAGTGCTGGGATCACAGGCATCCACCACCATGCCTGGCTATCTCATTCTTTTTCGAAGGCAGCGAGCATAGTTGTTGGTTATATGGCTATAGCGCAGTATTTTAAAAAAAATCATTTTTTTAAACAGCTGTTTGTGCTATTTGGTTTTCGCTGCCCTTCTCTCCCGTGTATCTGCACCTGTCTTGGCGAGCGCGAGCCCTGTCCCTCTGGGCGGTGCCCGGGCCCGGGCGCACCGGCCCGCGTGTGAAGGCCGCCCTTGCCGATCGGATTCTCCAGTCTGGGCACTGGTTCCCATATTTGCATCCTTGGCTCTCCTGCACTGGCGTCGCGTAAGCGAGAAGGCAGGACCGGCAGCCTCTCCCGGCTGCGAGCGGCTGACAGAGATCGTCCGCAGCCTCAGGGACTCAGCCGGGTGCTTGCAGGAGTGCGGTGGCTTGGCAGCGGGGACACTCGCGATGTCGGGCAGCGCACCCCCCACCCGCGCCCCAGCTGTTGCCAACCTCTCGTCACCCTCAACACAGACCCCGAACCTCCAGTGTGGGGGGCCTGGGGCACCACGAGCGGGTCTCTTGCCCTGTCTTGCAGCATCCCCGTGCACACCATATTTGACAGCTGCCCGCAAGGCAACGGCATCAGGGCCATCGCCATCAGCCGAGATGCCAAGTACCTGGCCACCGTCTCCGACGCCGAAGTCCAGGTACAGGGCTAGCGCCTCCGGGCATGTCCGCTTAGGGCTTGGGGTCTCCTCTGCACATGCTCGAGGCCCCAGGCTTCCGGGCGCAGGGGTCCTCAGGCCCTGGCCCTGCTCTCCGCAGGAAGTCAGCATCTGGAGGTGGACTCTGGCGGTAGAGACGCCCGCGTGCACCCTGCGGCTCCCCAGAGAGTACGGATCCCAGGTGAGCCCGTCCCCTCCCCCGGGAAGGGTGCCTCGAGTTCCCGGGCCAGCGGTGCCCGGAGCTTTCTTTTTCGTCTCTATGTTGTCTTTCTTTGCTGCCTAACTGATGCCATAATTTTTATTTATTATTATTTTTTATTTTATTGAGAAACAAATATGAATGAGACAGTTTCAAAGTTGATTAATAGAACAATTTCAATAATCAATACTTTGCACATTGTCATCTTCTTAGTGGTCATCCATAGTACAAGAAGCAGACAGGATATCCTGTCCAAACACTGTTAGTACACATCTTTCTTCTCATTGAATTAAGTGAAAGTAGCTGTATATCTGTCCTATTTTGTATATACAAATACAAAATGGTCTTTCCTTTGTACCTCTTTTTTTTTTTTGTTTAGTCCTGTCAGAGGTGGATATTCTATTGCATCTAAATACTATAGGTGTTTGAATTCAGCTAAACAATCCAACTCTGTCTAGCAGTCTATAATATTAGTGGGTTATCCTCAGAAGTTATTGACGAGCCTTTTACAGCTCATCGTATTAATATGGCTTTATTTT